ATAATGGAAAGGTGTCGTGCCACCATCTATGAGCAGTAATCTAGGAATTTAGGTGAATCAATTGAAATTATTTAAGAATGTATATAATTTTGCTTCTGAGTTTAAAATGACCTATTTGTCATTAGAATCGAGAACAATTTAGTCGTCACAGCTCGATTTAATATGTGATACGCTTCAGGTGGGTTCGAAAATCAGACGAACATGGAATTGCCCTTGTTTATGAAGTACATGGTGTTTCTCTGTGCTGTCTCAGGAAATTGACCCGATTTCCCGAAAGTACACAGACACCCTGATTTATCGCTGAATGTTGTAAATGAACTGAAATGACTCAGAGACAAGAAACAAACAAAAGGAAAATGACAATGAAATCCACAGCTATTAATGTCACATTAAAAGTGTTATAGTTCCTATTACGACCAATGTTGGTCTACTGTGTAATCTCCATTAAATTTCAGAGTTTTTTTTTGTTAGGTTTAAGGCTAAACAGATCTCAAAGCTTCGTTGAGGGCTCCAGTATCAGGCCTTGGCTTTTTCCTCTCCCTGCAGTCTTCTCGGCGTACTGCCTTCGCACCTACAGAAAATTTGTTCCACTGTCTTTCCATCCTGGCAATATCTGCTTTCTGCTGCCTCTGGAGTCTGCGTTCAATCAGCAGACTTATTCTAGTCCTAAAACGTCCTAGGTAGAGTAGTTCTGCTGTTAGTTTCTGCGGTGGTCCTTTGATGAGTTTTTCTACATTTGTTCCTGCAAGATATTCTCGCTAAACCGAGAATTCTTGATCAATTTTCTGATGGATTTACGGTTTTGGTAATATGGCATGCTGCAAAAGGGTTCAGGGTCCTCAAAGAACTACCCTTGGCAAATTTATCAGCCTCCTCCTAGTTGCTCTTTTACTCTTTTGCCCCCGTACCCAAATAAAAGGAATTTTATTTTCCCCAATTTCTGATAGGGCTTGATGCAGTGCCAAACGGCTCTGAACTTCATTTCTTTTATCTCAGTTTTCTTTTGAAACCCAGTCTTTTCAATTCCCTTGCATAGTGAACAATTCTAATTTTGGGTTCATGGCGTCAAAACCCAAAAAGTTCTTCTGCTTCAAATTCCTCCCGAAGCTTTAATTGCTCGTTTTTATAGTAGTCTGGACCTATCCCTGCATTAGCCTATAAATTGCGGCCCATGTTCAATGGTGGTAGGTTCAAGAGGACTTCCAGGGCAGCAGTGGAGCTTTTGATTGCTCCAATTATGCTCAGACTAGTCTCTGAGTAGTACTGAGGTTCGCGGAGGACCTTCGGCAATTTGGTATGACCTTTGCCAGTTTATCGGCGTCCTAATGGCCCTTCTGCTCTTTATGCCCTCGTATACAAACAAATGTGCCTTTTATTGTCTGACAGGGCCTTGATTCAACTCCCAACAGACCTCTCGAATTGTCGATAAGGAGGCTGCCTTTAGTTCAAGTAGAGGGCTATTTTTACTATACTCAGCTTTTTGATCTACCTGTTAGTGTGCAATAGGCACGGTCATTGCCTCGAAGACAGGCTTATTTGAAGTCCTTGGTTTATTAACACAGTTAACAACTCCTGACCCATACTCAATGTGAAAGCCATCTGTATTCAGAATATAGTCGGCATCAACTGGAAACCCTTTCTCCCAGTCTATCGGGTATTTTGATTTGAAATTTCATAGCCAATTTACATTTGGGACCATAGCGTCAAGAGACAGCCCGAGAACCTTAGCGGAGGTCCTCATTGCTCAAGTAATGCCCAGGCTAATTTCTGAGTAGTACTGAGGATTCTGAGGACCTTTCGGGAAACAAATCAGCGGGTTATCATGGCTCTAACAACGGCTAGGTATAAAGGCACATTTTTGGATTCGGTACTCAGCTTTTCCCACAAAGGCGTGCCATTTTATGTAGTTGCTGATTTCTAGAAAATCTTTTGTCAAAGATGGTGGCTAGAAATTGACGGTTTTAGAGAAGGTAATTACAGCTGTATTTATCACAATTGGTTCAAGTCCTCACACTGCTCTTTTCTTGAAGGGAACAACGATGGTTTTATTGTGGTTATTGATAACCTTTTTTTGTGTGGATGTTATTGCACTCTCTCTGTACATCTGTAAAACGTCCATTTACGTCTATAACTCCATCATCGGCAAAGTGCTCACTTCTAGGAAAAAACACTGGATTAAACGGAAAGTAAAAAGGGTCCTAGTACGCTTCCTAGTATGAACTACAAGTGTTGCCTATATAATATTACGCTTATTTATTTATACGATGCCCGTCCCCTAGCAACATTAGTTTTTTTTAAATAATTTTATTTATGGTCAACATAAACTTTTATACTTGAGTACCAATGGCCAAGGAATCCTAATCTGAAATCATACACGTAATGATTATTTTATCTTTTTATTTTAATATCGTCACACTAAATCGGCTGTTTACTTTTTGACAAGCTTCACAGGTTTCAATGTGCAGTTAGTTGTTTATTTTTAAATAAAATAAATGGATCGTCCTTTATAGCCTGTACCTGTATCACCCTATGTAGTGATTTGAGCCCGAGTATAGTGACTATGGAGATTTAAAAGTAAAAACATAAGTAGCGAAATATTTTGAAATGATTTTTATTTTGTTTACTTCTTACAGACCATCTTTATATTTTTAATAATTTCTTTCATTCTTGTTCTCTTCGCTTTCTTACATTATCGTTATCTTCTGTTTTCTATTTTCGCAAATGGTTTTAGTTGTTTTAGTCATTTTACAACTTCCTGTCCTCTTTCTATATTTTCCAGGGTCGGAGGATAGTACTAGTGCCATCGGCAAAGGATGCAAGAGGATCGGTCCAAGCGTGCTGCCCTGTGCAACTCCCTCTCATTAGTCATAGTAATCCTTGTTGGACCCGAAAGAACAGCTCTGACAAATTCAGAAAAACCCTTGTGAACATTTCCATAAACTTGTTTCTTCCTCTATTCCCGTTCATAGTGCTAGTTCATCGACATACTAATACCACATATATTTGAGTCCAAGGAGAAAGAAGCAATTTGTTTCTTTCCTTCTCTAAAACGATTTCAGCGATAGGTGAATCTTCTGTCGATTTGCACTTCCGATCAAATCTGAAATAATCCCATCCTTCGATCCGCCGCCGTTGCAGTTCTAACTCCAGAACTGATTGTGGCATCCTGCAGCTGACCAGAAGCAAGAGATCGCCCCCTCCTTTACGCATTCATCGGGTTTCTTCTTTCCTTCCAATGTGCTGTGACCTATTCCAGCCCTATTTTTTCCTTTTTCTACAATCAGTATAGTAGAGATTGTATTTCCTCCTATTCTTCCCCACACCGACTATTTCATCATCTCCTTCATCTCTGATCTCTGGTTTAAGATTAGAATTGGCTCTGAATTTTAGACATCAAGCCCGTCAAGGCCGGCGTTCCCCATAAGAGCATCCTTGGCCCGATCTTCTACATACACCGCTGACATACCTATACACCATAATCACGACATTCGTGGACGACACTGCAATTTTCTCCTCACATTCCGATCCTATCCTTCCAGCAAAAGCAACCCAAGACCACATAGTCCTCATGGCCGACTGGTGCACTAGGCGCATCAAGCTAAATGAACCAAAACAGCCGGCACGTGATGTTCACACTTACAAGTGCCAGCCCATCAGTACTCATATGCAGTATTTCTGAAGCAGGAAGCCATAGTATAACTGGCACTCCTATCTAAATATGAATAAACTGTTGTAAATATTTTGCATAAAGATTTTATTCTATTCTAAAGTACAGTAAGGTGATTCGCTCCATCCAACCTAATTTCTCACTTTTGGTATGACAACTAGCACTATAGACTGGAACAGAACAAGAAATACGTTAATGAAAAAAGTTCACAATGGTCTTCTGTTCTTTCGGATCATCGGCAAAGGATGCAAGAGGATCAGTCCAAGCACACTGCCCTGTGCTACTCCCACTCAGCAGTTGGAATTAGTAGAACAGGGCAGTGTACTTGGACTGATCCTGTTGCATCCTGTGCCGATGACTCATCAGTACTAATTCAATCGTGAGTTTTTCTAATACTTTTCCTCATAATGGAAAACAAGCCTGTAGGTCTACTTTGATGCTTTATTGGGTTGCCTTAATGGGTTGTAGTTTACTGCTAGTTTGGAAGTTAGGTTTATCCAATTTTATCAGTTCTATTGGTTGTTTTTCCAATAAATTTATTTATTTCCAGAACCTGTACCATTTGGAGGAAAATATTCGTCTTTCTACTAGGAAATGCAAACAATTGTTGATAAGGAAAAGGAAAACATTCGTATTTACCCGGATCGTTATTTAACCGAGGAATTTACCTTCGCGCGCACTATGTATAAGTGCCTGATCTGTACGTGATATAGTTCGCTTTGAAAATAATCTCTTCCAACAAACAAATAGCACCTTTGCAAGATCAACGAAGTGTGAAACAAAAACAACAGGTGGAAATCTATCACGATTGATTTTTATATTTTCAAGGGGTTCCCAAATATTATGCATCTATTTTTACAAAACCAACTTAGAAATTAAAATCCTGCACACACAAAAAAAATTCTTTATTGAAGCTGCTAGGGCTTTTCCGGATTAAGATTATACGAAAATTTTCCCTTTTGGTCTCGCGTATTGGACAAGATGGCCGTCTCGTCGTTGGCCACCTTTTACAAGGCAAATTTTTCCTCGGAGAGCTTTTGAACTTTATGTCAAACAATGCAATCCCAGGCTTCACGTCGAGGCGCAATTTCCCTCCTCGCTCATCGACATTTTGTTTGATATTCGGCCAAAACCGTCTCGACGCGAGCTCATCAGATGACAGTGGAGGTTGTTGGATTTCAAAACTTATTCGGTTGATTCGACAAATGGAATTTTATTATACAAACATTGACAGAATGAATCTTGTAAATTTTTTAAGGCTTGGGATTTAAAAAATAATTTAATACTGATTGCTAGTTGTTATTTTAAATAACGTGAACCATCTATTTTTCAGGCTAAAAGACAAACCTCACCAAAAAATGGAAGAACATCACTCTAAAATTGAAATCAACAGAAAAGTCTACTTACAAAATTCAGAAAACTTCAAGACTGAGAAAATGAGTTGTGAGTAAAAAACAAACAAAACAATTATACGCTTAAGATCACGAATGGAACTGGGGGAACTAAAACACCAAGTTCCAGAAAAGTTGGAGCAGCTGGACAGGAGGCTGCCTTGAAATTCTTACTAAAAAAAAAGAAAATTTTCAAAATTATAGTTATTCCAGTTCTATCTACGATCTTCACTACAAAATCTCTATACAAATAAACAACTTAAATCAAAAACATTAATTAATTAAATCTACATTACTAACTTCCATGGCCAGAAATTTTCTTTTGGTAGTGCATTGGTTATAAGTAAAGTTCACACTTCAGGGTGTTTAATAATATCTTAGACGGGTGAGACTCCTTGGCTAGGAGGGAGTTTAGGAATAGGGAGCGTGTAGGACTGCCGCCTGATATGGGAAACGTGCTTGAGCATGACAGCGAGTATCTGGGTCCCCTGTTCCGATTTTTGAAGGAAACAGGGACGTTTTATTGTATTTAGAAGTAACAGTATTGAGAGTGATGTAATGTATTTATTAGCGTGAATGCGTAGTATGAGAGGTCCAATGGCTGAATATTGAGTACGTCAATGACCCTTAATTAGATTAGTTACATAATAGGTTTCAATAGTGATGGAGGAATACCTAGTACTCCACCACCCTGAGTGAATGATACGGAAATAGAAAATAATATATTTATGAATTAATGGGAGTGTGAATGGGTTTGGATCTTGGAACTGCATGCGTTGGGTGCTCAATTGACCTAGCTATTGACAGCATCTGGAGCCCAACTGGACCCCAACTACCGGTGGCTGGACAGATAAGACCGAGGTCTGCCGCTGGACTGCCAACTCCCAGGATGGGATATTCTTGAGGCCTGCTGGCAACTTATAGATGTAGGTGGACGGCGAAATGTGATAGGTTCACTCTGTAATATGCATACATATGTACAACCATGTGCATATTTAAGCTTACATAAAACCTAATCCTTAAAAATATCTAAAGCCGGGAACACACTTACCAGATGCTACGCCATGCGACGCTACCCGATGCTACTCGACGCCTTGCTACGTTTTGCACATCTATCCGACGCAAGTACACGTCGCGTACAGTCCACAGCCTTTATCACAATAATCACTATCACAATCGCAACGCATCTTTTGGTCTTAATGCACTATTTTGAGCAAAACCTTGTAATAAATTGTTAGTTAAATTTTATGACCACAACCATCTAATAAATTGTTTGTTAAACTTAATTATTTTAAATAAAGTTACTCCTAACCAACGTAATTAAACAATGTTTATAAAAACTTATGCATTTTTTATCTCGTTTAATTTGGTTTACATTAAAATAACATGTTGTAATTAATATAACGACAAAATTACATGTACTTAGTTTGCAATAAACTACAAAAAATATGAGTGTCCTGTTCTGATGCTACCCGACATTACAAAATGGTGTAATTTTACGAGCAAAACTATGAAATAAATTGTTAATTAAATTTTATGAGCAAAACCTTGTAATAAATTGTTAGTTAAATTTTATGACCACAACCATCTAATAAATTGTTTGTTAAACTTAATTGTTTTAAATAAAGTTACTCCTAACCAACGTAATTAAACAATGTTTATATGCATTTTTTATCTCGTTTAATTTGGTTTACATTAAAATAACATGTTGTAATTAATATAACGACAACAATACATGTAGTTTGAATAAAAATATGAGTGTCCGGTTCTTTTGTCTTCGACTGTACTCGATGCTACCCGACGAAAATCTGGACAGTGGGGATCGCAGAGCGTGGGCAGGTTAGCGTGGCATAGCATCGGGTAGATGTGCACGGGGTAATGCAACCTTATGGAAAATCGGAGTTTGGATTTGCGTCGGGTGGCATCAGGTAGCGTCGCATGGCGTAGCATCGAGTAAGTGTGTTTCTGGATTTACCCGATGCTACGCCATGCGACGCTACCCGATCTGCTCGATGCTATGCAACGCTCTGCGATCCCCACTGTCCAGATTTTCGTCGGGTAGCATCGAGTACAGTCGAAGACAAAAGAACCGGACACTCATATTTTTTTTCAAACTACGTGTATATTGTCGTTATATTAATTACAACATACGTATTTTAATATAAACCAAATTAACCGAGATCAACAATTCATACGTTTTTATAAAAATTATTTAATTATGATGGTTAGGAAGAAAATTAATCAAAACACCGGAATACCATTTATTGATAGAATGAATTTAACTAACAATTTATTTCATGGTTTTGCTCATAAAATTACACCATTTTCGTCGGGTAGCATCAGAACAGGACACTCATATTTTTTGTAGTTTATTTCAAACTGTGTATATGTAATTTTGTCGTTATATTAATTACAACATTCTTATTTTAATATAACCCAAATTAAACAGATCAAAAATTCATGAGTTTTTATAAAAATTATTTAATTATGATGGTTAGGCAGAAAATTTATCAAAACACCGGATTTAACTACTGACTGGAGTAGTTTTCCCTTAGACGTGGATGCAAAACCAGTCCTTAATGTTCCTCTAAAAACGGAAGAACAATTGGATAATGAAGCAGAGGTCACCTCAATTATTCAGACTTCAGCATGGTGTAATACTAGACAGACTATCCATAAAACAATTGGCTTCAACTACCCCAAGGAAATTAAAGAACTAATAAATCAGAAAAGAAAGGCTAGGAGAAGATGGCAACAATCAAGAGATCCCGTAGACAAAACATTCTTAGCAATATGGCTCAAAAACTTAAACGGAAGCTAAAAAAAAATACATGACGACTCAATCAGAAATTATCTAGAAGATCTAACACCAGGCGAAGCCACTGACTACTCGCTGTGGAAGGCCATAAAAAAATTAAGAGCCCAATCGCCCAAATTCCTCCATTAAAAAAAGAGGATGGTACATGGGCGAGAGACAGCAGAGAAAAAGCCGAATTGTTTGCTAGTTACCTTGCTGAAATCTTCAAACCAATTGAAAACATCAATGGCAGTTTACTTGAAGTAACAACCACGCCACAAGAAGAAAATATAAAGCTAGTTTCACCTAACGAAGTAGCACTAGAAATTAAAAATTTACCTGCTAAAAAGTCTCCAGGATATGACCTTATCACTGGAGAAATATTAAAACAATTACCAAAAAAGGGTATAGTTAAGCTAACATACCTATTTAATGCTGCAATCAGACTGAAATAGTTCCCAGCATCTGGAAATTTGCAGAAGTCATGATTAAAAAAAAAAAAAAAAACAGGAAAAACGGCGAACGAGGTCAAATCATATAGACCAATATCGCTACTGCTGTCTAAACTCTTCGAAAAGTTATTATTAAAACGAATAAAACCCATTGTAGAAAAAAAGACAATCATTCCTGACTACCAATTTGGATTCCGAACAAGACATTCAACAATAGACCAAATTCACCGAGTAACGGATGTAATAGAAAAATCCCTTGAAGAAAAACAAATTTGTTCTGATATCTTCCTTGATGTCTCACAAGCTTTTGACAAGGTCTGGCACGAAGAACTCGTCAATAAACTAAAAGGGCTAAACTACCAAAGCAGTATTTCGGTATTATCAGTTCCTACCTAACTGACAGACTAGAGTCAAACAAGAAGATCAATATTCAAAATTAAAAACAATAAATGCAGGAGTGCCACAAGGTAGCATATTAGGTCCACTGCTTTACTAGTGATTTTCCGAAAATAGATGGAGTAAAAATTGCAACGTTTGCAGATGACACAGCGGTGATATCACTAGGACCGACCCCATTCAACCAAAATCCTCCAAAATGCATGTAATAAGATAAACGAATGGACAAAAAAAGGGAAAATCAAGCTAAATCAGCATAAATCAGTTCATCTAATCTTTACAAACAAACACGTGGACCATGTTCAGTCGCTCACAATCGATGGAACTACTATACCGTACAGCGATACAGCTATATATATGGGAATGACCTTAGATGCCAAGCTGAGATGGAAAGAACACGTGAAGAAAAAAGGGTAGAAATAGGTTTAAGGTATAGAGGTACTATATTGGTTGACAGGACGTGGCTCCAACCTTGATATACAAAATAAAATATTATTATATAAACAAGTCATAAAGCCTTTGAGGACATATGGTATTCAACTATGGGGTCGTACCGAACACATCAATATCAAAATCATACAAACACTCCAAAATAAAATCTTACGTAACATGGTCGATGCACCTTGGTACGTAAGGAATAAGGGCTTACATAGGGATATATGTTACAAGAGACTTAAGATCCCTGAAGTCACGGCGGAAATACAAAGATTTGCCGCCAAACACCAGGCTCGTCTCAGCCAGTACGAGAATGTGGAAGCGACCAAACTCTTATATAACCAAAATATGGTCAGAAGATTAAAAAGAACAAAGCCATATGAACTTTGTAGTTAAAAGTGAATAGTGAAATGTAAATCTTATTGTACCAATGGGTTTATAAGAATGTAAACATTTATGTATTCTATAATATTATTGTACAATTAATGGTTGGTCTAATAAGACCAGTTTTAATAAATAAATTTAACTAATAATAAAAAAAAAAAAAATCAAAACACTGGAAAAACTTTATTGAAAAACAATTAAATTTAACTAACAATTTATTACATGGTTGTGCTCATAAAATTTAACTAACAATTTATTTCATGGTTTTGCTCATAAAATTTAACTAAGAATGTATTTCTTGGTTTTGCTCATAAAATTTAACTAACAATTTATTTCATGGTTTTGCTCAAAATAATGCATTAAGAACAAAAGATGCATTGCGATTGTGATACTGATTTGTGATACACGCTGTGCGACTGTATGTGGCGTGCGCTTGTCGTCGCATATGTGCACACCCTGCCAAAACGTGGCAAGGCGTCGGGTAGCGTCGGGTAGTGCGTCCCGGCATTAGTCATACATTGAAGTGTGTCTTTTCTTGGCTCCTTATAAAGAGCTTGTTAGAATGCCATCTGATATGAGAATCTCAAGCACTGCAGGGGGTGGGTATTTGGGTCTGCTGTTCTAATTTTTATACGAAACATTTTTATACTAAATACGATTTGATATCTCATTTTGTGTTGCATTTTATGCATATTGAGATTAAAGTTATTAGTGTGACTACTTACTTTGAATGAATATTGGAGCACCCAGTCAATTAAATTACTTATAAAGCATGTTGGCTGACAGAGGATTATCAAGTAATCAATCCATCACCCGGCTTGAGTGAAATGTATATTAATAAAAGAGAATCAGCGGGAGTGTAACGTTGATGAGAAGAATGCCAGGAAGCAGTGGTTTGGTACTCTCCAAGCATTGCAGGCTTCTAGCTTATTGTTCCTAGTTCATTAGTTCAGTTTTATCGACTTGTTTCTTCTTTTTCAGTAAATTGAAGCTTTTCTGTACTCTATTGTTAATAGTTTAGATTTTGGGAACTATTGTACTGAAAACTATAATATAATGAATTTGTAGCTTCATCATACTCAATCATCCATTCTAGTTTGGCTTTGTCAGGATGATCAGGTATGACAAAGCTACAGTTTAATTTATAATTAGTATTTTCAAGTGGTTTATGTTCATTATTAATATATAGTATAATGTACATTTATGTCATTTTTCTAAAAGGCTCGTTTTGTAATCTTGAAGTTTGAACCAATAGCATGCAAGGATTCATTCTTTGTATAAGCCTGGAGGGTAATGAAAAGGCAGATGAGATTGGCTAACATCCAGACAATCCAGACAACAACCAACATCCAAAACTGACAAAATATCATTAAAAGTGACTGGCAGCATGTGTCAAGGCAGATTAGCTTCTACGTATCTATCATCATTACTACGATTAGACAATTGACATTTAAATAACCATATAGAGAGCATGTGGGAATGCCACCCGATGAATTGTGCTTGAGCAATGAAGTCTTTGAATCCCCTAGTCCAATTTTTGAGGAAACAGGGCTGTTTGGTTGTATATAAGGTTTGATACATATCTCATTGAATGTATTTATTGGCGTTTAGTGTCGAGGGTCAATGGTGGAATATGAGTACCCAATTGGCCCTCAATTAAATTAGTGGTAAAGTATATGGCTAATGGAGGAATATCAAGTAATCCATCATTGAATATTCCCATGTTGTGTAGGCATTTTCTCAGATGCCAGTTACCGGTAGTCATATCATTCCCCTGTTTAAATGTAACAATGTGCTAATTTTGATGGGAGTTCTTTGGTCATAATTTTACTGTGTCGCACCTCTGAAGATTCTTTTGTTTTTTTGTAGGCCCATTGTGAAATTGTGGAGTCTGTGTTTGATCTTTCTTTCTTTATCTGAGCCTATAAGATCTCTGTCCAGTTTATCTGCTTTGTTCATTTTCTAGAATTCCTTTTAGCCCTAACATCCAAAATATTGTCAGGCTGTTGTTTTCCCATGTTTTGGAGGTGTTGGTTCCATTCACCGACTTTTTTTATGCACTAATGCTTTTAGGACTGCTTGGCTGTCTGATCTTATGAGGATTTTTTGTCAGTGTTACCTCAATATCTTGTTTTGTGTTCCATTGTGTGTGTATTGAGAGTGAATTTTTCATGTGAGAGGGCGCAATATTGAATACTCCACCCCACTAATGAGGAATGGTGTGTACAATAAATAACAAAGAATGTATTTAAGAGTGATCGAGAGTTGGGGGCTGGAATGACACAACTATTGACAGCCTCTAGAGCCTAACTTCTGTAGGATGTATAAGATAAAAATCTGACCCTTCACTGCCAAACCCTGATGGGTAATTTTCACACCTTGTAATTCATTCTAAATTACACTAAAATCGGAAGTGGTTCAGTTCTGTACATGTACGTATGTTGTCGAGCATATATAAATCAGTAATCAGTTAAAATATATTAATAAAAGAAAAAAGATTATTTCATTCATTTATCCTATAAATCTTTTTTTTAAAACAATTTTAGTGAAATCTTCTGTGACTTTGAAACTTCAGTGCCAACCGAAAAAATGCCTCATAAACGCCATTCCGGCAATCGGATGGTTGTCCACGTACAATTGGAAGGAGTGGCTTATAAAAGATTTTATATGCGGGTTCACTGTAGCAGTAATGAATATACCCCAAGGTAATAGATAACAATAATTAACATAAAATACTAAAAAGTTACAAATTTAACATCTTTTTAGGAATGGCTTACGCGATATTGGGTAACGTTCCTCCAGTGGTTGGAATATATATGGCATTTTTTCCTGTTATTGTATATGCTATATTAGGAACTTCTAGGCACATATCTATGGGTAAATAATAAAATATTAAAACTTAATAAATTTATTAATAATTTTGTTATGATTTATTGTCTAGGTTCTTTTGCCGTCGTCTGCCTAATGGCTGGAAACGTCATTCTCAAGAACTCACCTTCTGACATACCCAAATTACAAAATAATCACACAACCGTCGAGCCGGTGGAGTTTTATTCGCCTATTGAAATTGCCACAGCATTGACATTTATGGTGGCAATTTATCAGGTGAAGAAATATAAATAAATCATTCAAAAATATATGAAAATTGACCGAAAAATCAGGGATAATGCCAGTTTAAAAAGACCGCAGTGACTGGGTAATTAGGGTGTCAGACTCGTATTTGCCATGCTAGCAGTTCTATGTTTGAATCCTGGCAAAGCCCATAATGGATTATAGTATGAAAAATAAATTGTAAAGTGGTTTGACCCCTTGTCCATGACATGTAATGACCAGTCACCAGTCTCAACTGGTAACAGTTTTGCTCTTTTTATGTCTCACGTCAGATATTGGATTCTGTGCTGTTGATGTGAGCCTGCTTTGAGCTTTGAGAATGATTCTTGGGCTGGGTTAACAAAGCTGCAACAATGAGACAAGTTTCAAAACTCCTATCATATGTCATGACTACCAGTTGGACAAATTCGCTCTACCCAACAATGACACTGAACTTTTTGAGCACTCTATACTCAATGGCAAAAATTTACAACAAAATGTGCCAACTAATTTAATTTAAAAACAAGCAGGATTTTCAAGAAAATACTGTAACTTCTTGAACTAGAACTCTATGATGTGATGTCATTTATGAATTATGTAAATTAGTAGTCACATTTCTTATTTTTATAAGTATTATATGTATGTATTTTAACTAATTATTTAATATGACATTTTTATGCAAAATGGCAACTGTTTTTGCTTCTATATAAAGTTCTTTGTTTTGGTTTGAAATCAGTGACCAATTCATAATTATTCAGCTAGTATTTACACATAATTTTTTTTATTACTTTCTAGTTATTTATGTATGTATTCCGTCTTGGCATTATCTGCACGCTACTTTCTGAGACACTTGTAAGTGGATTTACTGCAGGAGCCGCGATCCATGTTTTGACTTCACAACTTAAAGACATTTTTGGTGTGTCTTTGGTTAAAGTGCAAGGTCCATTGAAGTTAATCTATGTAAGTTATAATTGTACACTGGCATCCATTGATTTTGTCTGGATAATTAAAAAAAATTGCTTCTTTTTTTTCAGATTTACATTGATTTGTTTTCGAAACTGAGTGTTATGAATATAGGCGCCATTATTTGTTCGGCTTTGACAATAACTGTTTTAGTCATCAACAACGAATTCCTCAAGGTAAAAAGAGAGCCAAGCTCTAGTAGTTCTGGGTTTGAATCCTGGCAAAACTGACATTATCACCATATTATGATCATTATTTGATCATAATATTTTTAAAAAAATGTTTTAACGCATAGTCCACACCACACAAGTTGGACTCTAAACCTTTCTCATGATTTGAATTACTGTACTTTTATATTATAAAATCAGGCTGAATAAAACAAAAAGAGAGATTTTATTAATATAACACAACTTAATTATGATTTTTCCTTATGTTGCAGCCTTATGTTCAAAAGAAAACATTTATCCCTATACCGATTGAATTGTTAGTCGTTCTATGTGGCACGCTTGCATCAACCTATGGTAACATCGCTACAAATTATGGTTTAAAAACAGTTGGACATATAGCAGTTGGGTAAGAACTAAAGTATTCATAATTATTATATTTAACTGTTATTAAATAGTGGTCTATGAATTAAATATTTATCCAAACATTCTTTTTTATTACAATTAAGGTTTTTAGTTGAAATAAAAAAGTCAATGGTACGAGCGGGATTCGAACCCACGATCTTTGGCTAGATACGCCACTGCTCTACCACTTGAGCTATCGTGACCTCGATCCACTTGGACACTAACTTCCCATCTCAACCCCACCTTTTGAATTTTTTTTCTTATGAATTTGAGATGGGAAGTTAGTGTCCGAGTGGATTGAGGTCACGATAGCTCAAGTGGTAGAGCAGCGGCGTATCTAGCCAAAGACCGTGGGTTCGAATCCCGCTCGTGCCATTGACATTTTTATCTCAACAAAAAAACCTTAATTAATTGTAATATATTAATTGGTCAAGGAGACCACGAAATTACGGAATTCTTTTTTGTATTGGTTATGGATATGAGGAACTGGAGGAGTTCCCCTGAGCACTGCAGCTCTATACAGCTTATTGTACTCCTTCCTGGTTCTATTTTGGTAGCTCACGATAACACGTGTGTAAATTGAGCTCCCCGGTGTTCTTCCAATGAAGAAATTCATTTTCATCAGTGGGTTGGGATTGAATTCAGGGTCTCTAAGACGTGATCCCATTGGACCTTCCAGTGGTGAGTGCCGTGTCAACTTTCATTGTGGCCACATGTGGCCTTGTGTCATAAAAATCCCAGCAAAAGGAATGGAACCCACGATCACAGGGTCTACTAGCCAACTGACGTCTTAACCACTCAGCTACCACGGTCCTCCCAAAGATCCATGCTGTTTTTGTCAAAAAGCAATTATGCTGAAACTCACTAAACCTTTTTTTCCCCCTTTGATGATAGAACCGTCACAGACCCTTTCTACCCTAATTTGTAATTAATTATTTACAACTATTAACTACAGTTCAGAACCTAAATTCACAGAAGTTTATTGAACATATATTGATTAGATTCATTAATTTCGTGGTCTGCTTGAGCAATTAATATATTACAATTAATTCAGGTTTTTAGTTGAGATAAAAAAAGTCAATGGCACGAGCGGGATTCGAACCCACGATCTTCGGCTAGATACGCCGCTGCTCTACCACTTGAGCTATCGTGACCTCGATCCACTCGGCCATCAACTTCCTGTCTCAACCCCACCTTTTGAGTTTTCCCTCCTTTTTGCCATTTTTCAAATGTCATGTAATCAGATTGTGGATTCTCGATGACAAATGAAATGGCCACGGAGAGCTTTAGTGAAGTATACTTCATTTTAAATCATTAAATTCACTAATTTTGTGGTCTTCTTGACCAATTAATATATTACAATTAATTAGGGTTTTTAGTTGAGATAAAAAAGTTAATGGCACGAGCGGGATTCGAACCCATGATCTTCGGCTAGATACGCCGCTGCTCTACCATTTGAGCTATCGTGACCTCGATACACTCGGACACTAACTTCCTATTTCAACCCCACCTTTTGAATTTTCCCTCCTTTTTGCCATTTTTCAAATATTTTGATTAGGTTAATTAATATTCAATAATAAATTTTCAATTTTTAGTTTGCCAGAGCCAGCAGTGCCGAATTTCAACCTACTGCCAGCTGTGGCATTGGACAGTATTACAATAACTATCATCGGATACATCAGTAGTTTTTCAATGGCGCTTATATTCGCGAACAAGTTGAAATATGAAATCGACCCAAATCAAGAGTTGCTCGCACAGGTAGAGAATCACTTTGCAATGGAAAAATGTATTTATAATTATAAATTAACTTTCTGTACAGGGTTGTGGAAATTTGTTTGGATCTTTTTTCTCCTGTCTTCCGTTTGCAGCATCCCTATCACGAAGTGCGATACAAGAGAGTGTCGGAGGGTGCACACAGTTAGCCAGTTTATTTTCATGTGGGCTGCTTTTATTCGTTCTTTTATGGATCGGGCCATTTTTTGAACCCCTTCCAAGAGTGAGTTTTATCTTTAATTATTTTCTATTATTTATTTTCAAATTGTATTCGCTTTTCAGTGCATTTTAGCCAGCTTAATTGTTGTGGCCCTTAAAGGAATTTTATTTCAAGTTAAAGACATAGTTAGTATTTTTAAAACATCGACATTAGACGGTATAATCTGGCTTTCGACTTATGTGACTGTCATTATTGTCGAGGTTGAATATGGACTTCTAGTCGGTGTCTGTATATCTATTTCAATTTTATTTATACGTGGTATTAAACTGCAAATTACGACTTTGGAGAGGATTCCAAACACCGAAATTTATGTCGAACCAAACAAATACGTCAAGGTGATTATTCTGATGTGAACTATTAAACTTAAGCCCGTGAATTTGATTAATACAAATTTTCAGACTGAGGGAATTCCTGGGATCACAATTATACACTACGCAGGATGTATTAATTTTGTTAATAAATTGACGTTCAAAAGTAAGGTAAATGCAATTGTCAGCTGGACACCCATTGACGACGGAAATATAACTAACACAATTAAGCCTCTTCCAATGAAACAATTGGTATGTAGCGTAATTGGGACATTTGATCAATGTTTTAATTATAATTTGTGTATTATTTTTACAGGAAGCGATTATTTTTGATTTTCGATCTGTGCAGTACATCGACGCTTCTGGTGCTAAGGCAATCAAAGAAATTTTACAAACATTGAACAACTCGGGCAAAAGTGTTTTGTTTGTGGGCTTGCAAGGTATTTAAAAAAAATATTATTGGTTAGTAAAATCACAATTTGTGAGAGTTCCTTTATTTGATCGTTATCGGTAATTTTTGTTTGCCTATCCGTGCTGTGATGGCTTGTTAGACTTGTATGTAATGATCAACTCAATTGATATAACTTTCATCTCACATACTTTCATAAGGTCATAAAATAAGTCTGTAACATTTTTAAATGGTAAATTCCATTAAAATTTCAAGCACTTGTAAAAAAAAAAAATAATCAAAAATATATGAACTGTATTGTTCCACTGCTTGCAGCCATCTTCCAAGTAATTTTTTAATTCTGTCCCCTCAAAATGTCTCAACTTTTGAAGAAACTCCTCAGTGTCTTTTCTGCGTTCTTTCAGTTTTTCCCATTAATAGAGTTTTGCAGAGCCTAGAATTAATGAAAATCTGAAAGGGCAATGTCTGTTGAATATAGGTGTGGTAGGGTATTCCAGGCAAGCTCCAACAATTTCTCATACATAAGACACATGGGGGTGAATTTTATCCAGGTGGAAAACAATCCCATTGCAATTACCACTTCAATAGTTTGTAGTGTAGACTAGAATTAATGGTTTGGTTGGTTGGAAGAAGTCCATAATAAAGCAACCCCTTTTGATCCCTCTAAATGTAAACGAGCTTTTGAAGTTGTTAAACAGTGTGCAATTTCCCCAGGATTTTCTTTATTATAAATGACCACATTTTATCCTCAGATATCAATAATTTTAACTGGTCGTTTACATCGAGTTTTATGAGACCTAGGGTAGAAAGAAGATCCGTCAGAAAGAATTAGTACAATAAGTAAAAAGGATGCAGTGGAAAAACCCCGTAGTAATAATGGAATAACTAGCATCCTTCTCGTTATCATCATCATCACACTATCAGTAATTTTTAAATACATTCTTTCCTATTTACCATTCATGTGGAGTACTTGATGCTCTGATGTGATCCTAATAAATAATCTAATTGAGAGTCGATGGAGTAGTCAATATTTCACTCTTACCATAATCATTCATGCTAATAAATACATTCAATCTCATTACACAAAATGAGATACGTATCAAATCCTATATGCCATAAAGAAGTCCTGTTTTTCTCAAAAATTCTGAACAGGGATCCAAATACTCGCTGCCATACGTCAGGTGGCATTCCTACATGCTCTTGACGTAGAGCCAAGGAATTACCCTGCAATTAAATTGATCAATTAATTAATAGTTTCACAGAACCCAGAAGAAGTGAAAATCTTTAAAGATGAAATGTTCGAGATATATTAAGCGTCTTCTTGTGTGAATCAGTGTTGGTTATTTGTATTAAAAGTTCGAATTTCCTCAATCATCAACGTTTGAAGAACTCAATCAGGGGCTTTCCAAGTCAGAATTTCTGCTTTTGAACTGAGCAACCACTTGAACAGAGCTTTCTCCTTAAGCATCACAAATATTACGAAAATTTACTTAGCAGGCTGTGCTGCAGTTTTCCCTTTGTGGTAATAAAAAACCTATTAAATGTTGAAAATACACTATATTTTCCTCCATTTTAAATTAGGTCATTTTCAGAGTGTGTAAACAATAATGACTAAATAAACTGTTTCAAAACCCAAAAGGGACAACATCAAATTATTTAAAAATGCTATGGACTTATTTTTCAACCAAATAAAATGAAATTTCCTACCGTTTATATTATATCAATAAATTTATTCCTTAAAAATCAATTGAAATATGCTTTATTATCAATCAATATTAATGATATGTTACTTAATGTGTTTTAGAGTATGGAGTAAGCACGCTCAATTCATGCAATGTTTTCAATGAGCCATCAGTTCCTATATTTCCGACAGTCCATGATGCAGTGATTTATTTTCAATCCACAGCCAGTAAAACCTCTTCTATAACCGATTTGTTCACTGCAAGATTGTAAACTGATATGAAACCTTGAATATAAAATTTATTATTGTTTGTACAGATTCACTGTATATAAATTAAATGTGATATATAATTTTTCTAGTAACATTGTAGTTTATTTTTAAAATTAATTCCTCATTTATATAAGCTCATATCTGCACACGCATGTATATATGTAAGCATGTACAGAGTTGACCGATCACTTTTGCAGTCCACCAGCAATTCTAGCTTTTGTAATTTACAATAAATTACTGGTAGGCCGCAAGAATCACCCAAGGTCTTGGCATTCTGCAACTTCGGTTTTATCTGTTCAGCCACCATGGTTGGGTTCCGAGTGCTAGGTTAATTCTACACCCAAGACGTGCAGTTTCTAGATCTAAACCCATTCAGACTCTCATTGATTCTTTCTAGTGCCTTTCTTCTCAGTTCCTTTTGATAAAAAATTATCATTCTATTGTTAAGGTGCAATCCATTTTTCCCCCATTCCTCTACATAACCTAAAACTGTGGTATTAATTCACAGGCCACTAAATTGAGCAAATGGGATGACTGGAGTTCCAGGGCACTTAATAAATATCAAAAATATAAGAAGAAAGTAAAAACATGGATTGGAAGGGATTTGGCTTTGACATAAATCATGTAATTATTGATGTTACTGGGAAACTGAAACAACTTAAAAACAAACACTCTCTGGACTTTTTCAATGGCATCAGAATATTGGTATCCCCAAATAAGGCAGCTATAGGAGAGAATGGAATGAAAAACATCTATGAAAATGTCACACTTAACCTTCAGCATTACGTTCTTATTAGCTATGAATTTAGACCAAACAAAATGGATTGCTTCTTGGCCTTTTGGTTATGATCAAAGTGTTGTATCTGTTCTTAATCACCGGTACGACTTCCAAATACATTTTCTCCTATTTGCATACTACCATTCTTCCCATTTTTATATTCATTTATGGTGGTGGAATACTTGCTATTCCTCCATCATCCTCCACACATATTATCTTTCTTTTTTCTTCAACTCCATTCACGACTTTGATATGAAAATCCTTATTTTCTCCAATCAAATTTATTTACAAGAATCTACTTTCTGGCAGAGACCATGTCCAATCATCAGGCCTCGGTGAGTGGCAGAGCTGTGTTAGAGGTTAGAAGGTTTACAAGGTAAGAAAGACTTTATTCTCTTGGTTCCTCCCTTTTGCATTTTATAGTAAAATCTCCATAAGGCCAAAACATTATCTATTGTGGAGTATCGACCGTTAAACCCTTGCTTGACACTTCACCTTTTTTTTTTATATCAGGTGGCATTCCTATATGGAGGTAAGGAATTCACCCTTCAACTAGGTGGATACATCGAGCAACCTCTGTATGCTGGACATATGTGCAGGATTGGTCCAAGAGTAAGTGTCCGAGTGTCAATCTCACATGGCCTATTCTTAATAGAATGAGGATGACCCTTCTTCTATGGGTCAGATTCTCCCAGGGCCACTTATCAACAAAACATCCTTTTTCTTCCAAAAATATTTATGTTTCTCCAAATCCAGAATAGCAGTAGGGAGAAGAAGGGCTCTTGAAACACATACAAAAAGTTTGCAACTTATTCACTTTACTATGAAAGAAGAAATGGGAATAACAGTTTCAACATCAATCATAAGAAGTGAACATTTAACACAGCTATTGAAATGGTCATAGGTCAGTAATATCCACTAATAAATACATTAACTCTCAATATATATAAAGAAACACAAGATTGGATATCTATAAAGTACTACATACAATAAAACAACCCAGTTTTCTCAATATTTGGAACAGGGTACCTAGATACTCACCATGTTCAAGTAAGATTCTCGTGTTGTTGGGAATTCCTACATGCTCCCTATATAGAGCCAATGAGTTATACACTTCAGTCAGGTGGGGCACATCAAGCAACCTTTCTCTACATGCCAGCCATACACAACATCTTTCTTCACGTTTTCAATTGAATTACTTTATGATGCGGTGACCAATCAACTGAACAGTATTCTAAAATTGGACAAACCCTTAAACAATACTTGCTTTTGCATCGTTAAAATATTTTGAAGGCCTATCTATAAAGCCTAAAATTTGATTAACTTTATTAATTGCGGGTTCTTAGATGGCTGTGTTCTGTCAGGAGTCCGACCAGAAACCTTACCCTCCAGTAATGCCTTTTTAAGTCTTGCAGATGTCCTTTCTATGAGCCTCTTAGCGTGCTTCACGCCTGGGGTATTGTTCAACCAAGTTTTGGATTCATTAAGGATGTATTTTTGAAATTATCCTTTTTTTTTATGGCAAAACAGTAAGGTATGGGTCCTAAAGAATTCATATCGGCTTCTTTTTTGGCGAACATGTCCACTTTCTCATTGCCTCTGTCCCGAATGCACAGGACTCATGCCAAGGTCAGGTCATTAGTGTTGCTGACTTCTGCCAGGGCTTCCATACAATCCATAATTTTTTTGCCTTTACCTCGCATGAGGCTAAGACCACTAAGTGCCACTTGCCTGTCAGAGAAGGTGATATCTTCCTGGAATGTGTTCCTAGCTTTTTATTTCTCTGGTGCTGCTGTGATTTCAGACTGGAAAACTGTAGTGTATTTACCTAAGTTAGTTCAGTCTACGGATTCATCCCAAGGCTCCAGTTCCCGTGTAAGATGAAGACTGAGCTGTAATATGCAGTAAAATTTTATTAGATTAGAAAAATAAATTTGCAAATAAGTTTGCAATGCTGGAATCAGAATTGGAATTGTTCTATACATCTGTAAATATCTGTAAACACAAATAAATTATATTATAGCTTATAAAAATTACAAATAAAATTTCTGATCTGTTCTGTTCTGGAATGTGGAACATCATAGTTACACCAGAGGTCAGCAGATAGTGCAGCGTACCATTTTAACAGTTTTAAATTATTGGAATAATGCAATTTATTTAATTGGAGATGAAAAAGAAAACAAAATTAACTAGCGTTTATTGCCATTTATTTATTATTGTATTGGTCTTAAACAAGCAGTTGCCTTGCTGAAGTCTGTACCCATTAGCAACTGTAAATTTACACCTCGAAAAAGGAATAAATAAAATGATCATTTCTGCTAAGGTTTGGCTTATTGACATAGATGCGTTGCAAAGTTATTCTCCTTTTTTGTCCGCTGAGCTTTTGAAGACTCGGCCGAGCAAACAAGTCCCAAGGAGTCTTTCGCAACGTTGTCGTAAAAAAAGGAGAAATATTTTCCATTTAGAACTACCAAGAAAGCAGTGATGATGTTATATTTTATTTTGAGCTGTAATCATCAGAGATTTATCGCCTTTCGTTGTTGTTTTATTCCGGCTCGTTTGTCTAAAATCCGTGAACTGGATCACGAAGTTGCCATTTAAAATAATACGGACGTGCTCTGCATTTTCCGATTCGCATACATTTTTCTGGAATTGACAAAACGTTTTCCTTGTAAATTGATTGAGCTCGGTACTATTATTAATGATTACGTCGTTGTTATTACGAAAAAACTTGAACAAATAGCATAAGAGTAGTTAGTGATTGCAACATATGCAAGTCTAGGGCAAGAAGAAAGACTTCTACCGTTTAAAAACATTAAAATTTGACTCCTTTTATCGATAGTTCGGCCTTTTTTAAATCAATCAAAATATACAGTAAAAATGCACAATTTGTATCCAGTCATCAAACCGATGTATACAACCGGGGCTGATTAATTGTACAGACATTCTTTATTTAATGACACACTTTTGAATTCCACTTCCAATTTATTAAGCAATTATGATAACAAAAAATTTTTTTTACACAACAATTTAAGGTCTTTATCATATGCTGATTAATGAAATACAAAAAGTACGTTATTGGTTTACGATGATTTTGGTCTGTTTTCCTCCTGTTGGGGTCAAAAGTCAGAAGGAAATCTCATAATAATTATTCATTTTTAGACAAAGGCATATTGAAAAAGAAAAGTTCATCAAAGGACCATAGCAGAAACTAACGACAGAAGTACTAAATCTAGGACGAGTTAGGACTAGAACAACTGACTGCTAACTGGACTCGGAAAACTCCGGAGGCATATGTATAGTGTATAAACAAGCCTATGCACATATCGCCAGGAAGAAAACGAGACGGCAGAACATATCATCTGTTGTGCAAAGGTTTTTGTAGGCTAAGATTCCCACTCTTGGGAGAGAAAAAGCCCGAGACTGAAGGATACATATGGAAGTCCTTGAAAAGGTGTGGGATCTGATAAAAAGTCACCAAAGGACCATAGCAGAAACCAACGACAGAAGTACTAAATCTAGGACGAGTTAGGAGTAGAACAACGGACTGCTAGTTGGACTCGGAAAACTCCGGAGGTATATGTACTCGGAGTAGTATAAACAAGCCTATGCACATATTGCCAGGAAGAAAACGAGACAGCGGAACATATCATCTGTTGTGCGAAGGTTTGTGTAAACTAAGATTCCTACTTCTGGGAGGGAAAGAGTCCGATTAGTGAATGTGACCAGTCTCCTATGTTTGTATCGGGTGTTGTGTTTATGTTAATTTATAAGAATGAATCTAATTTATTAGCGTGAATGGAAGGGGTTGTTTCATCCCTCTCCTAGGAATATCGACTACACTGGGGTTAGTGGCTGTGAGCAGACTTCCATGTTTGTATAGGGTGTTGTGCAAATACAATCTTTAGACTCATTAATTTTTTTTTTAAATAAAAAAAGTACTTCAGGGTTGAAAGGGTTAATCACAATTACTTAACGTAAAGCTCGAACGTCAAATGGACAACCGGACGATTAGCTTCCAGTCTTTCCTAATATCAAGTGTGTAATTTGCTTCTCAGAACTTGTTTTATCAAACCAAATAAGACCAGGGAGATTTGACGGCTTAGCGGTCCCTGACACGTTAACTAAAAGGTTTTACACGCTTTTGCGTATGACCCGTCGATCAACACCTAGGCTTGTACTCTCCCTGGGACATATCGCCAAACTGGTAGAAGTGCATTGGAAAGGCCGCGTTCCTTATTTGGCGACACGGTCCACGACCAGTTGCACAGTACCGGGAATGGATCGGGGACAATTGCCCACCTATGCAGAATC